CACATAGTATGTATTCTTATTAGATAAGAATGTTGCATTCCATCAACATTAGCGTGGGACGCAAATACATCGAATAAGAATTTTCATGTTACAATAGTACATGATTAATCCTTAGACTTGAGGCACGATGGTAACTTTGTGCATATTATATTTTACTTTGATTTATCCTTTTGATTGCTAGCACAATCGTATAAAGGGATATTGTTGATATGCGATTTTTTATCAACATAGAGTATTCAGAAAATTGTGTTTATATGAGATTTTTGTTGAATTTTTTGTATGTATTTTGTGTGTAAAAAATAAAATCTTAAAGGGAAAACAAGAGGAAGAAGAACCCCCGTCTTTCGGAGAGAGAGAGAAAAATAATAATAGCCCCCTCAGACCTATCTGTCTGACGCCCATCATTGGGGTATATTTATATTTTTTAGTGGGCCCATTATTATTATAAGCGGTGTTATTTGTGGGCCCTAAAATAAACAATTGATATAATACATATCCACGTGTAATATTTTAATAGGCGAGGCCAAAATTGGGTATTAACAGTAGGCCCCTGACTTTAGGACATGTTCTGATATAGAACTGTTTTGAAGTCCCGTGTATAGCCAATTTAGCTGTGATAAATAATATATCAATGTTGGTCGGGTGCTTTGGGACCCGAAAATATTTCGTGGATCGTGTTTAGGCTTTGGCCTGTCGTATTGACGGTAACCATGCGTTTTGTCCTGACGAGTGGAGTCGACTGCGTGGATAGTCAACTATGTGAAAATGATATATGAATGGGCCTGGTTGGCCTGGTAGGGTAATTCGGTACCCAATTTTCGTGTGCAATATGACGCGTTGGATGGATTTGCGTCTGTGATGATGATAGTAGTATAGATTTGAACTGGTGCGAGCACTCGGGCCCCTTGTTTTGCTATCGATCTGTATGCAAAGATGTTATTGATATGATATATTTGCCCACCGAATTGAAGAACTCGGTGTAATGATTTTTTCTTTCGCATATTTCCCAGCCGGGAAGGTCTTATTGACTTTGCCTAACCAGTGTGGGGCCCAACAGATGAAGGCGTTTGGTTTATTGTATTCTTTTGATTTGGACGTCAAGATATATGTCCGATGTGCATATGTAATGAATGTATGTGTGACGCGTGTATGTATGTATGAATGCATTACTGAGTATGCCGATGCGTAGTGCGCATGTGCAGTAAATGATTAATGTACGATAAATAAGGGTACCTCGATATTTTTTCGAGTCTGAATTCCTTTTCGGAGTCTGATGTCATATTCTGGAAAGTCGGTAGTATGGAGAACCGACAAGCAAGCTGTTTTGAACTTGCAATACTCAACACTGTTCAGGCTGTCTAAGTTGAAAAAAGAAGGGTCACCGAACTTCGTCACGGTTCGATTACGGAACGGCCTCAACCGAACCAAGTGTTCTCGGCTGTCAATGAGACCTCGTCAAATCATGTTCGCTGAAGTGACGTGGACGAGCTTTAGCCCAACCAAACCATACGTGGAATTTGGATGTATTACGAGGCG